TAGTGAAAAAGTCCATCCCCTGTTGTCCTCTCAAATCAAAATCCACCGACATATTTGCTTAGAACTATTTTGGACTGTTTTAACGTTATTAACGGTGCTTGATCTGTGCATATTTCTCTCCCGATTCAGACAAAATGACTTTTTCACTGGAGAAAATACTATGGATAGAGGACTCATATTTTAGCTGGAAGCAGCAGTTTAAAGTTATAAACCACTTAATGATGAATTTGTTTATTACAAACACGCAGCTTTTGCAACATCAAGACGTTAACTGATGGACTGGAGTGGCGTGGATTACTTGTGGATTATTGTGATGTTTTTATCAGCTGTTTGGATTCTCATTCTGACGGCACCCATTCACTGCAGAGGATCCATTGGTGAGCAAGTGATGTAATGCTACATTTCTCCAAATCGGTTCTGATGAAGAAACAAACTCATCTACATCTTGGATGGCCTGAGGGTGAGTAAATGTTAAGCAAACTATAATTTTTGGATTAAATCTATCTGTCTGTCTAACACTTTCCATTGCAAAAAAAAAAATGTTTTATAGTAAAAAGGTTGTTTTGATTTTTAAAATGTACTTCACACACTAAGCATGGTTCTTTTAAGAACTGTTGACCGAAAGGCTCTTAAGGGAACCCAAAACGGTTCTTCTACTGCATCGCCGCAAGCCCCCCTTTTGGAACCTTTATTTATAAGAGTGTGTATGCTGGGCACAGACTATGATTTTTTAGCTTTACACTGTGATTCCATCCAGTCAGAGGAGATCAAACATGTTTGATATTTTAAGCTAATTTTAGATCACATTTTGTTTTCATTCATCACGCTTCCCCTTGCAATGATGCACATGTTTCTGTGTGAGTTTGCTGTCTTTAGAACAAACTCAGTCATTTATAGTGTATTATGCTGCGTTTTCTCTGTAACAATTTACAAAGTTAGCATGATGTCTAGTGTTTTAAAGCCGTGCAGTGTATTCAGGCCTTAAGATACAACAACAACAACAAAACAAATCTATCTTCTCTTGCAGACACAAATAAACATGCTGGAATTGCACTTGATTGTAACAATTAGAGAAACATCTGGATCACATGAAGATGGAAAATACAACAACAGTCGTGTCATGACTTACTCCTCTGCAGATTGCTCCGTCTTGATTCATTTGGTGGTATCTTGGCATATCCATCAGCACTGTGGGCAAATGGCATGCATTAGGTACACTTGTTTTCAAGCTCATCCTCCATCCATGTTGTGAACTTATCAGTCTCATATGCCAGCAATGTCTCAAAACCAAGGTGGGGCACAAGTCATCTTTTCTTACGTAAAGTCACAATTTTTCACAAACAACTCTGGGGAACTTCCCTCCATCCCAATCATATTTGATGGTGACACAATACCCCCCCCTCCCCCCAAGTAATGCAGCTGTAAGAAGCCATTACAGTAGAAAAACAAAACAAAAAAACATTGGTGATAATAACTGAATAAACAAACCAATGACATTGGTTAAAATTGGTTATAATTGGAATTCCCCTTACAAAAACATGCAACCATTCCAGCAAAAATATCATATTATGACAGTTATTATTTGCAATTATGAGTAATCATTGTTACTACAAGACTTTGATAAACAATCCTGTCATCAAAAAATAAGTTTAAATGACAAAAAGCTTCTCACATCATTAAAAAATATCACATATTCATTTACTATGACTTTGCATTATAACAAAGAACTATACTATTTGAACAATTATGGCTGCATTGCCTGATCATTTGTCGATTTTATTTACATAGTTGATGTTTGTTTAGTAAAGTTTTGTCATGTGATAGCACCATATGTTTACTCCTTTACTAAAAATGACAAGTTAGTTAATACATGATATTTTACAATGTACAAAATGTAAATAAAGATAAACATTTAGATAGAACTTAAGAAATTATAGATGTACTCAGGGCTGGACTGGGACAAAAAATCGGCCCTGGCATTTTTTGGTCCAGGCGGCCCATCACCACTTCGATATATATATATATATGCACACTACCAGTCAAAAGTTTTTGAACAGTAAGATTTTGAATTCTCTTCTGCTTTACTTGATCCAAAATACAGCAAAAGCAGTAATATAGTGAAATATTTTTACTATTTAAAATAACTGTTTCTATTTGAATATATTTCAATATATTGATTCCTGCGATTGCAAAGCTGAATTTTTAGCATCATTACTCCAGTCACATGATCCTTCAGAAATCATTCAAATATTCTGATTTGCTGCTCAAAAAACATTTATTATTATTATTATTATGTTGAAAACAGCAGAGTAGAATATTTCGGGTTTCTTTGATTAATAGAAAGTTCAGAAGAACAGCATTTATCTGAAATATAATTTTTTTTGTAAAATTATAAATGTCTTTATCGTCACTTTTGATCAATTTAAAGCATCCTTGCTAAATAAAAGTATTAATTTCTATCATTTCCCAAAAAAATAAAATAAAAAATAAAATAAAAATACTGACTCCAAGCTTTTGAATGGTATATGTATAATGTTACAAAAGCTTTTTATTTCATATGAATGCTGATCTTTGGATCTTTCTATTGGATCTTTCTTACTATTCAAAACATGTTGACTGGTAGTGTGTGTATGTATGTAGCCTATGTATCACACTCATATCACATCTTGTTTTGGATAAGAATAAAACGTCAGGTCCGACAATATCCTGTCTTTTTTTATTTAAATCTAGCTTTATTCGCATTGGCCCATGGAAACCTCTATGAACACAGCTGACTTGACTTTTTAAGCTTATCCTGCTTTCATAAACAAATGTTGCTGGCTTGGTCTCTATTGTATAAACATAACTTTTCTCCCCATAGGTACCTAATTTGGAACAATTACAATATATTATATAAAAATAAATCATTATTTTTTTGTAAATTGGTTTTCAGCAGGCATAATACGAGTTAGTCAATTATTAAATAAAAAACAAGGGTTTACTAATATCCCTTCAAATAAAACCAAAGCTTGAGAAAGAAATTCTAATTTATGTTAAGATGATTTTGTATTTACATAATAAGAAAGCAATTAAGACTGTCTCCATTTGTAAGACCTTTAATATATTTACATATTGTTTAGGCCACCCCCCTGGCTGTATGTGTATTTTGTATGCATATATATATTTTTTTATGTTTTGTTTGTGTTTTATGTTTTCATGTGTATTATTGTAGTCCTAACTGTACTTTGACTGTGTTTATTGAAGTTTAATAAAAAAAATAAATAAAAAAAAACAGTTGACTTGACTTGGCTAAAAAATCGCGTGGGACGAATTTACGTTTTATTAAAAAGTGTTTACGCATTCTACACTCATGGCGCGCAGCCGCGCACACACATCAGGATAGGTTAGATGCCTGCCTCCTGCGAGTCCCTATCAAGCACTTTTCCAATTCAACTACTCTCTTCTTCTCCTCCTGCCTGGCTCTTAGGCCCGCATCACTCACTGCAGAGCAAGCCTGTTCTTGATAAATCTGCTGTGAAAACGTGGGAAAAGCCGACGAGGAAGAAGTTGGGGTGAAGCGATCTTTATATCGGCGGAGCAAAATACTTCATTGCTCCGTCATTAGCACATTGTGATTGGATGTTTACGCTGTCAATACAGGAGACAATCCAATGGGCCACTGGCTGCTCGCTGTCCCTGCGTGATGGTCCTTGGCAAACAAAACAAAAAAACATTCTGTCGGCCCCTTAAGTGCGTCGGCCCACCGTGAAAATGCCCGGTATGCCCGATTACCAATCCAGCCCTGGATGTACTTAATATACAATACATTTAAATAAGTGTTATATTATAGGCTATAAACAGTTGGTATGATGGCAGACATGTTCAAGTTTAGTCAAGACATTTACTCAAAAAACTGCCTGACCTGTTTTTATTTTATATATGTGTGGAAACCTCCTATAGGCCTATGTACTGTCCACCAGAGGATTGTTGTGTTTATTTATTTGTTTGTTTTGTTTTTAATGATATTTTACAATTTATTTATCGGATTGTGTTTTTTTTTTTTAAATATGTTTTAATGTTGTTATTTACTATCCCTACGTAATGATTCGAAGAGAGAGAGAAAATGTGAGCGTGACAGTAATTCCGGAAGTTGCCATGGTAAATAATCCTTTCGGAAGTTTCGCTTCTCCAGAATGTTTCGACAGAAACGAAAGTGAAACTAAAGTATCTGCTGGTCTATAAACCGAGAAGGAACTACATAAATAAATACACGATTTGATCACCAAAATGACCGATCGCTAGCTCAGACACATCGAAATAACGATAGGCTACATCTGAATAATGTTAAAGCGTAAAAAATGTAAAGAGAAACAATGTTTATACATTTAAATGTAAACTATTTATTTCTATAATATCCTATTATTTTATAAATATATATAATATTAGGCTATAGCAAACGTAAACACCTTGCACGAGAGTCAAATTCATGATATTGTACTGTTGTACTTACTATGTTGGCTGATTCTGAGGGTTTGAAGTACTAGGTGAGTTATTCTCACAATAATATTCATTCGTTTGCTCGCTGTCCGTCATATTGCTCCTTTGATTTACTGGATTTCCTCTATATGCCCCGCGTCCTCCGGAATTATGATTTAGATGTGTAGATCGATCCATGCTATAGTATATTCTGTCGCGTGATTCCTGACCTTCACACGCAGCAGAACAGCTGATCACTGGCAGCGAGTGGCAGCGAGTTGGTAATGGCATTAATGGCAAGTCTCTCTCTCTCTCTGGGATTCCCCGCTAAACACCAGTATTCATATGCCACATAGTGCGTGAAAGCTTTTTAAATACATGATAAATAAATATAATGCTTGGCAGTTACAGCTTGTTTTGGAAGTTTAGGGCACATGAAACTGGGGTCTGAGAAACGCGTTGCTCTGTTTTAGAATCGCGAGACCCCGCAGCAGCTCGAAGTGTGTCCCTCTGGTGCTTCCGTAGCTGTTGTTTCTGTCATCAGCAGCCGCAGTATGGCGGGCTCCAGTGGGGTGATGGACGGGGGCTTCATGAAACATGCCGAATATACACCGAAATCCAGCGGGCAGAATGAGACAGATATTGACAAACGCCTTGTGAGTAAATGTCGCGCTGGAGAGTCCGGAGCATTTACACTGTTTTATTTTGACCTGGCTCATCCAGTATTGACCTTGCTGCTCACATCTGAAACTCAAGCAAGAGAATATTATTGCCACCTACTGTAAATTGATGCATTAACAAAAATTTCCCATTGATGATTGACTATGTGTTGTGACATGGGAAATGATTATGAAGGGCTTATTAATCATTGTGACGCTTACAGTTCATTCTCACAGTTTTTTTCAGTTTTTATACATTAGCCATTGATACTATATATATATATATATATATATATACATACATACAGTACTGCAAAAGTCTTAGGCCATTAGTATTTTCACCAAAAAATAAATAAATATTTTTAAGCCAGTTATTTCTATCTTTTGCTGTAGTGTGTCAGTAGGAAATATCAGTTTACATTCCCAAACATTCCTTTTGTCATTAATTGTAATAATCCAGTGTAGGGCTGTGTATCACCGGCAAAGTCACGATACGATATATATCATGATACAGATGCCACGGTACGATACATATCACGATACAGGACTGCGCTGAATTTCACCAAAGCAGAATTTAGTAAAACAGCTGTTTATTAAACACTGCTTACTATAGTGCCATTTCTAACTACTGGCAGAGCAGGCAGTTGACCTCTGCATTATGAAGGGCCTCCATAACTGTACCACAGTACAATATAGGTAATGGCATATGTTTCATGTTTACAT